CAGCAGGAAGCCTCGGGTTTCCTTTGATGCACTGGTGTGGGAGATGAAATGGGCCGGGTACAGGGAGCTGGGAATGAGGGTAGGGTGGGATGCAGGCAGGCTGACGAGGACCGCTGTCCACTGTCATTTAATCTGTATCGTGAGGGGAAATAGCCACGAAGAAAAGTGGGGGGCAGAGAGATTAAGTTCTCACTCAAGAGCAAGGCACCCAGGCTGATCCGGCCCAGGCCAGTCCATCTCGCCAGCTGGACCCTGCAGACCCAGGGCCGGCAGTTCCCCTGGAGCCCTGGGGTCAGTCCCTGGGCTCCTGGCACTTGCCTTTCTCACCTCGTGCTGGCCTGACCTGGGCAGAGAGCGGCCACCCTACGTGCTGACCACTGTCACCTTCCGGACGACAGCACCTAGGCAGCAGGAGTGGGGAGCACGCAGCCCCAGCCCCAGGGGCGCCTCAGGGAGAGAGGGCCAGAGCCTGGCTGGCTGCCCCAAGGGTGGGCCTGAGCAGAGCCAAGTCCAGACACGTGCCCAGAGCGCCCCCTGGTGGCCATGCTCCCAGCCACCGGCTCTTGCAGGAGCGGGCTGAAGGCGGCAGAGGGCGCCCGCACACCCTTTACTCCCAGAGGGCGAGGCAGGGGCTCAGGGAGTGCCTTCGGGAAGGTGGGTGCCCAGGCTGGCAGGTGGCTAAGGGCGCCCCAGGTTGGGGGTGCAGCTGAGGGAGCAGCACGAGGGCAGTCACAGCAGGCGGCAGCCTTCAGCCTCCCCGTGGACCACCTGGAGGCCACCAGCTTCTCCAGCCCTCCTTCCCTTCCGGCCCAGGCTGGGGAGCATGGTCACATCCTGTCCAGGGGGAGCTCCAGGACCTGCTGGGGGCTCCTCCAGGGCCCTGGGGGGGGCGTTCAGGGTGGGGACTCGGAACCCCGGAGCATCTCAGCCACCCAGGCTGGCAGGAGGACCAACCTGCGCAGCGGCGGGAGGACAGCTCCTCCTGGGGTCTGCAGCTGGGGGGGCTCCCACTGCCTAGGCTCTTGGCTAGGGGGCCACCCCACCCCACGGTCTGTGCCAAGCACCATCTTAGCCCCAGGGTCTATGCTGGGCTGTGGTGGTGTCACCCTCTGGCACCTACACTCGGGAGGACAGCAGGCCAGGGAAACTTCCTAAGGAGCGGAGGCACACATGCATCACCGGCCCTGCTCCCTCCCATGCCCTCTAGTGAGAACCGGGTGGAGGTGGGGTGAGGGCTGCCAGAGATGGGGCCTGTGAGAGTCCCAGGTGGGCTCAGGGCTCCTGGTGTGGTGGCCAGGAAAAGTGCTCGTGGGCAGGGCACCTGGGCTGGGGACGGGAGCAGCAGCTCCAGCCCCAGGGCAGCCCCCTGCACACCAGGGCCTGTGAAAGGAAGGGTAGTTGAGGATTTGACCAAGCAGGGGCCGGCTCTGTCTGAGCTCGCCTGGGGCCAGTGGAGGCCAAAAAAGCTAGATGGGGAGCAGACATGGAACTGCTCGGGGCCTTGCGCCCGGTGAGTGGGCTGAGGGAGGCCCTCCTCCCTGGGGGACCCCAAGCCCCTGCCCTCCCTTCCCTGACCCAGTCTGCTGGCCCCTAACTCATTGTGGAGGCCGCCGGAAGGGGGATTCTCTTTCCTTGGGCCCTGAGCAGTGGGAAGCAGGGACCCTGGGGACAGGTTGGGGGCCGTCTGATCGGTGCCCGCCAGGAGGCTGGCCCTGGAGCAGCCCTGCGCTCAGCTGCGGGAGTGACCCCTGTGTTCCTGGGTCCCAGATGCTCACGGGCTGCTAAGCTGGAGGTGGGTGTCTGCCTGCATCCCAGTGACTTCGAGGCCCAGGGCTGAGCTGGCAGGAGGAGGCCCCACTTTCCCTTTGACTCAGACTCTCTCACCTTTTTCTTTTTCCTCTGAGAACCTCTCGTTCTGACCCATCTCTGGGCCAACCCTGGAGCCCCATTTCCCAGCCAGCAGGTTCTCACGAACGGGGGTGGAGCAGCGACTGGCAGGCATGCCAGGGGCCCCTAGGAGCAGCAGACCTCGCGTAAGGGTGGGGGAGGTTCCTTCAAGTCCACCCAGGAAGGGAGTGGGCTGCGGGTGTGGGTGAGGCCGGTGGCAGGGCCCCAGCCAGCCTGGCAGTGCAAACAGGAAGGGCAGAGGCTCTGGCAGCCAGGAGCCAGGTCACTAGCAGGCTGTGGCGGGATCAGCTCCTTCCTGCTCTCCCCCCCCGCCCAAGGGGCGCCTGCCACAGGGAGAGGGGGTGGTCTCCTCTGGGGCCCCCGTGCCAGGGAAGAGACGCCTGGGTGGGACCAAAGGCCCAGTGCCACTGTGGTCCTCTCTCTAAACGACGGGTGCCGGAAGGGCAGGGGTGGCAGCAGCTGTCCGCTCTGGTCAGGGCCTGACGCTGGCCCGTGGGAGCCAGGCCTGGCGGCTGCATCCACACCTTGAGCCACCAGATGGTTTCTGACAGATCCCGCAGGCCCCGCTCCACCCCCCCGCCGATGTTGCACAAGGCCTCACCGCAGCTCAGAGGTTATGCAGGGGGTGGGGAGCCTCAGAGGGGCCAAATTGCCCCCCTTCTCCTGGACTTGCCTCTGTCCCCCTCCATGGGTCTGCCGCCAGCTCCCCGGTTCCTGCCCTGAGGGCAGGCTGGTCCTCACTGGAGGGCGGGAGTTGGGGGAGGCCAGCAGCCTCGGGAGCCCGCGTGGAGTAGGACAGGGAGTTTGGGGCGATGGGAGGCGCCCAGGATGGCGCGGGCGGCAGATCCGACCACTGATTCCTGGTTGCTGTTCCTTCCACGACACCCGGCCCACAGCCTCCAAAAACTGGACTGGCCTGAGGCCTTTAGGACACTAGCATGAGGGCTGGGCCTTGCCCAGCCACGTTCAGCCAGGTTGAAGGAAGCTGATGGCTGAGCGTGAGGTGCAGGCCGGAGCCAGCGCCGTCCAGCTCCGAGAAACCAGAGCAAAAGGGGAAGGAACTGGACCTCCATGCCTGGGCCTCCAGGGCTGGCCGGATGGCGGGGGTGGAGAGGGACTCTGGACCTCAGCCTTCCTTTTCCTGGAGCGGGTGCCAGCCCCCTGCCCACGTCAGGGACAGAGCGACTCCTTCCCTTTCCAGCCTGGAAAGCCCCCTCCCTGCCCCCACTCCCACCCTGGGCTGTGGGACCTGGAAGAAGAGACCTGGAGACCCCAAGGGCGGGCCTCCCACCGCAGGTTCCTGCAGCTCTTCCCGGCCCGGCCAGAACCTGGGCTCCGCAGCCAGGGCTTCCACAGACACGGGTCCTTGGGAGGGGAAAGAAGGTGTGGCAGCCCTACAGCCCACCCCGGGGCCAGGCCCAGCCTGGCACCTGCCCACTGTGGGCACGTGCTGGGGCCTTGTGTGGGCAGACACTCCTAGGACCCCTGGATGGAACCCCTCTCTGGGAATCTGGGCTCCGGGACAAAGGTGTCCTAGAGGCAGCAGGGGTGGGGTGGGGGTGGAGCGGCCCAATTAGGAGCAAAGAAGAGGAGAGACCTCAGCCTTCTGGCAAACAGCTGAGGGCAGCACATCTGCGGCGAGAGGGTCTGGGGGCCCACGGCGGAGTTGAGGGCGGTGAGCAGGGGAAGTTGGTGATGACACAGCCCTGGGGGAGGTGGTGCTGGCCTGCGCTCGGCTGGCCTCCGAGGGAAGCGTGCCTGCTCTGCACGGGCGCCCCAGGCCTGGGCAGCAGGCAATAGGTGGGTGCTCAATGGCTGGGCCACCCTTCTGGGGTGGGGGCCACCTCCTCTCAGGAAGGCCTCCCTTTCCCTGAGGTCACGCGGGCCCTCTTCTCCTGCCTCCCGTGCCTGCCCCGTGCGTCACCTCTAGGCCTTTCCAGAGGCCAGGAGAGTTGGAGGACAAGGTCCTGGACCCTGGCTGGGCACCCTTCCTGTAGCCGCCTCCCCTCAGCAGCCAGAGGACTAGAGGGGGAGGCGGGGTGAGGATGGCAGTGATGCCAAAGGTCACCTCGGGGCGGGGGCGAGGGCGGGACAGGAGCGGGAAGGTACCCTGGTTGCCCTCCTGCTGAGCAGATGAAAGGACAGCGTTTCCAGATGGGGCTGGGTGCAGGGGTGCAGCCGTGATTTCAGGGCATCCCCGTGCAGCCGCGGCTGTGATTTGAAAACCTCCGGCTTCTCGAGTAATTAATCTAGGAGCTGCCAATGCATAATGCCGGTGAGTGTCTGGTCTTCGGGGAAGCTTGGGCTGGGAGGATGGGGCCTGGGGTGAGTCCGAGGAGACAGCCTCTCTTCCTGTGTCTTGTGCAGGGGTAAGCCCCGCTCCAAGGCTTCGGGCTTTGGGGGGCCTGGCGGTAGCGGCTCTTCTCTCGGCCCTGTGGCTCCTGTGGCTGCTCAGATCAGCCCCTGGGGGAGCTCCGGCGCCCCAGCCCACAATCACCATCCTCATCTGGCACTGGCCCTTCGCCAGCCAGCCCCCAGAGCTGCCCAGCAATACCTGTGCCAGCTACGGTGTGGCCCACTGCCACCTGACCACCAACCGCAGCCTGCTGGCCAGTGCCAACGCCGTGGTCTTCCACCACCGAGAGCTGCAGACCCGGCAGGCCCGTCTGCCCCTGGCCGAGCGGCCGCAAGGCCAGCCCTGGGTGTGGGCCTCCATGGAGTCGCCCAGCCACACCCGCGGCCTTGGCCGTCTCCGTGGGGTCTTCAACTGGGTGCTGAGCTACCGGCGTGACTCAGACATCTTCGTGCCCTATGGCCGCCTGGAGCCCCGGGAGGGGCCTGCGCCGCCACTGCCGGCCAAGAGCAGGGTGGCCGCCTGGGTGGTGAGCAACTTCCAGGGGCGGCAGCGGCGCGTGCAGCTGTACCGGCAGCTGGCGCCGCACCTGCAGGTGGACGTGTTCGGCCGCGCCAGCGAGCGGCCCCTGTGCGCCGACTGCCTGCTGCCCACCGTGGCCCGGTATCTCTTCTACTTGTCCTTCGAGAACTCCCAGCACCAAGACTACGTCACCGAGAAGTTCTGGCGCAACGCACTGCTGGCCGGCACAGTGCCCGTGGTCCTGGGCCCCCCGAGGGCCACCTACGAGGCCTTCGTCCCGCCTGATGCCTTTGTGCACGTGGACGACTTCGGCTCGGCCCACGAGCTGGCCGCCTTCCTCACTGGCATGAACGAGAGCCGCTATCGGCGCTACTTTGCCTGGCGAGACCGGCTCCGGGTGCGGCTGTTCGGCGACTGGCGGGAACGCTTCTGCGCCATCTGCGCCCGCTACCCCCACCTGCCCCGTGGCCAGGCCTACCAGGACCTCGAGGGCTGGTTCCAGGCCTGAACTCTGCCGGCTGGAGGAGGCAGGGGAAGGTGGCTGGGAGCCGGAGGTGTGGGCAGAGGCCTGGGTGTTGAAATCCAACCCACCGGCATCCGACCAACCCCCATGGGCAACCCACCGGCTGACTTGGGTGCTGGGGACGGAGGCCAGGAAGCAGGGGTAGCCTTGGCAGGCTGCCCGGAGGTGGAGGCGGGTGGGCACTGGAGCCACTATTTGGGGCCGGAGGTGTGAGCAGGGAGGGAGCAATGGGGGTGCACGTTGCTGGGGCCCATCAGAGATGAGATGCTACAGAGGCCCTCCCTCCCCACCTTGATCATACCTTGGGCCGGTCAAGGCTGTCCTCCTGAAGTCTGTGGGGGCAAAACCTGGGCCCCTAACCTCTGTAGCCACGGTCCCCTCGTCCGGGATGTGCAGGCTGGAGCCCCGCGTACAGACCTGTGTGGCCTGGACCCGAGACAGCCAACCAGCTTCTTGGGCTTTTGGCAGCCTGCAGTCAGTCCCCTCGGGGAAGGGGACACCGATCAATAAACAAAGGACACGGATGGCGTGGCACGTGTCGACGAGTCTGCTTCCCGCTGCCACCCTGGCCACACGGGCCTTTGTCCTGGCCGGATCCCGCCCTCTCCATCCCAGACTTCTGTCCTCCCAGCTTGCTGCAGCCACACTGAATGGCACCGCAGCAGAGAGCCTTCCCTGACTCCCCAAAGGCCTAGGGGCGGAGAGCAGAGGCCAAGGACAGCAATGCGGCCGGGGCGGGGGAAGGTGCCCCATCTCGAAGGCCTTGGGATTTCATTCTCAGGCTGCAGGGTGTCCGGGGTGTGACGAGGTCTGGTTTTCGATGTGGGGTTCCCTCTGACTGGTGGCTGGTGAGAGCACGGGCATTACTGCTGCAGCCAAGGGAGCCCTTGTGGCAGGCTGTGTGGGGGAGCCGCTATCGGCGCTACTTTGCCTGGCGAGACCGGCTCCGGGTGCGGCTGTTCGGCGACTGGCGGGAACGCTTCTGCGCCATCTGCGCCCGCTACCCCCACCTGCCCCGTGGCCAGGCCTACCAGGACCTCGAGGGCTGGTTCCAGGCCTGAACTCTGCCGGCTGGAGGAGGCAGGGGAAGGTGGCTGGGAGCCGGAGGTGTGGGCAGAGGCCTGGGTGTTGAAATCCAACCCACCGGCATCCGACCAACCCCCATGGGCAACCCACCGGCTGACTTGGGTGCTGGGGACGGAGGCCAGGAAGCAGGGGTAGCCTTGGCAGGCTGCCCGGAGGTGGAGGCGGGTGGGCACTGGAGCCACTATTTGGGGCCGGAGGTGTGAGCAGGGAGGGAGCAATGGGGGTGCACGTTGCTGGGGCCCATCAGAGATGAGATGCTACAGAGGCCCTCCCTCCCCACCTTGATCATACCTTGGGCCGGTCAAGGCTGTCCTCCTGAAGTCTGTGGGGGCAAAACCTGGGCCCCTAACCTCTGTAGCCACGGTCCCCTCGTCCGGGATGTGCAGGCTGGAGCCCCGCGTACAGACCTGTGTGGCCTGGACCCGAGACAGCCAACCAGCTTCTTGGGCTTTTGGCAGCCTGCAGTCAGTCCCCTCGGGGAAGGGGACACCGATCAATAAACAAAGGACACGGATGGCGTGGCACGTGTCGACGAGTCTGCTTCCCGCTGCCACCCTGGCCACACGGGCCTTTGTCCTGGCCGGATCCCGCCCTCTCCATCCCAGACTTCTGTCCTCCCAGCTTGCTGCAGCCACACTGAATGGCACCGCAGCAGAGAGCCTTCCCTGACTCCCCAAAGGCCTAGGGGCGGAGAGCAGAGGCCAAGGACAGCAATGCGGCCGGGGCGGGGGAAGGTGCCCCATCTCGAAGGCCTTGGGATTTCATTCTCAGGCTGCAGGGTGTCCGGGGTGTGACGAGGTCTGGTTTTCGATGTGGGGTTCCCTCTGACTGGTGGCTGGTGAGAGCACGGGCATTACTGCTGCAGCCAAGGGAGCCCTTGTGGCAGGCTGTGTGGGGGGGAGGGGAGGCTGACGGTGAGCCTCTGGGTGGTGCTGACAGGGCCGCAGGAGCGCATTCGCCCCTGCCCCAGGTGGGGTGGGCAGCAGGTGGAGGCAGGAAGCTGCCCGCCCCTTGGCAGTGGCTTGTGGGAAAGGCCCACCGGTGACTTCCTGCCCTGCCCTAGCCCCGGTACTGGCTGAGGAGAAGGAAGTGTCCTCAGGCTGCAGGGTGGAGCGGTTGGGGGATTGTGCTCTGCCCCTCTTCCCGCGACTGCTCCTTCTCACACCGTAAGGAAGGAGCTGGGACAGGGTGGAGAGGTGCGGCCCCCAGATCTGCCACTCAGTTTAGGATGCGTCTTCTTTGTGCAGCCCAGACACTGGACACCACTCGGTTTGCCCCTCCCGTTCACAAGTTGGGAAACTGAGGCTGGGAGGAGCCATCAGAACCCACCGCCAGGCCCCCGCAGGGGCCGACCTGCCCTCTGCTGGCCTCCCTGGGAATGGACCGCCCCACCCAGCTCAGACCCGGCCTCCGGCTGTCCCGCCGCTTGGCTCCAGCAGGCACCAAACCACCTCTGCGGAATTCACTGGACCCCAGACTCCCTATGCAGAGGCCAGACTCACCCTCACATATAGGGAGAAAAATGAGCCACTCACAGAGGGAGCAGCCTCAGTCTCCCTGAACTCCAGCCTACCCCGCCTGCAGGGAGCAGTTCTCTCTCTGGGTCCCTTCCCTTCCTCGCTGGGCCCAGGGAGCTGCAGCCCCGGCCGAGCCCAGCCAGGCCAATCCTGCTACTTGGTCACCAAGCGGCTCATTCACAAGGAATGCAGGAAACTCTTACAGGGGTAGGACAGCCCACCTGCAGCCCCTCTCACCAGCCCCACACCCTCGTAAGGGGTACAGGTCGGGGCTGCACCCGGTGGGGCAGGAAAGCTGAGTCTTGAAGCGGTGAGCGCAGGGCCCGCCCTGTGCATAGGTGGGATCTGCATGCAAGGCGGAGCTCCCCTCCCCAAGTGTGGGCGGCTGCCTCCCTCCAGGCCCCAAGTGCCCTGAGCACTGGGACCTGTCTCTTAGGTCCAGGTGAAATTCCTGCCATCAGCGCTTCTGCGGGGAGGGCAAGGCGGAGGTGGGGACCTGGTGGGGGACGACCGCTCCCAGCATCCCCTCAGGGCGCCCTCGGCCAGGGCCAGTGACGACCTTGGGGTGCCTCTGTGGGAGGAGGGTTTCAAGGGGGTGGGGCGCTGCGCGCAGGCCGGGCGCCCCTGGGGGGAGAGCGCCCTGGAAGGGAGTGAGTCGGGGCCCTTGGTTTAGATGTGGGCTCTTGGGCGCGTCACTTCAACGCCTAGCGAGGTGGGGGGCGACCAGAAAGCCACTCTTGGCGGGTCAGAGCTCCAGGAACGGCCCGGACGGGGGCGGGCGGGAGGCCCGAGGGCGGGCACCGGGCGGCCCCTTTAAGCGGGGGCGGCGCAGGCGGGGGGCGGGCGTGAGCGGCTGTCGCCGCGGCCGCCGGGGCGGAGCCAGCGCCGAACCGGTCCCGGACGCCCGAGACGCCGCCCCGCGCGGGCGATGCCGAGCGGCGCGGCGGGGGGCGG